TATTTATGCAATTTTTTCTAAGAAAACTGCTCTTATATGTAAATTTCTCTTGAACCTGTGAGAATACTGTCAATATGTAATGATTGTTCCTCTTCACACATCCCATATATAAACCCTAAGAAATTCTAACAGGATCCAATGTTAATTTCCCTACGTCATCACTCAACTCTACTCAACACGATCTTGCTTTATTTTCTTTCCATTTATGAATTGCTACTTCAATATTTCTCCCGTTGTTTTACTTTATTAATTTGGACTTCATTCTACTATAATCGGAATTACTTCTAACTTATTTTTATTGAATTTTGTTATTCGAACAACAATAAAGGATAACTGCTATACTCCTCGAACACATAATAAATCAGTATTCAGTAAGTCATTCTTTCAAAAACATAACCGCTTTATTACTAACAAGAACAGTAATCCTCATCTTCTTATTCTCTTCATTTTGTCACGACAATATTTGGTGGATAATAAAACGCATAAAATGTATGCCAAACTGAAGTTTCCTCGCTGTTTGCCCGTTATAAACTATTATAGATAAAAGAAGCTATGAATACTGTGCAATTAAGTTCATATCAATTTACCATATTCTGTTCATTTATTGCAAAGAGGAGATCAAAAAGTGTCGAGATAATATTTTAATTTCAAGAAAAAAAATAAATTGAAAAAGAGAACAACACAATGAAGACGAAAAGAAGAAGTAAAGCTATCAGTTTTACACCTTCGATTTGATATTATTGGAATTTTTGACTTAAATGAACCAACTCACCCTAGAAGTGGCGCAATTGAAAGCTGTTTCAAGCTCATAACCGGGACACTGATTTGATATCACTGCACTCACAAGCTAAAATAAAATATAATGAGACAACTATTAAATTGCTGATAACTATTGATCAAGTTCATTTATAAAAAAAAAAAAACTTTTCAACTAGATTGCTTTTTTCCGCTATATGGGATCCCTACAAAAGTTTGAAAAAATCGGAAAGGAAAACAATAAAGCAAGTGGGTAAGTTTTAATGGATTATATTGATCGAATGATTAAGAAAAGCTGGTGACTGATGCTTAGAAAATCAAAGTTTATTGCTGCACATTTACTTCTCTTATGATTCAAAATAGCTCTATCTTTTGTTTGATTTTATAACATTAAGCTTTTAAACTTTTAATTTCAAGTTTTAAATTTTATACCTTATTTGGTTGCTTAGCCAACACTTTTATTTGTAAAAAATTTAATCGTCATAAAAATTAAATAAAGAACTAAAAGTTAACCCGTAATCAATTAAAAAGAAACGAAGACGCTCACCGATCGGTCAGTGAATGTGTCGTAATTGCATAAAAGTTGGCAAGATGGTGAAAGATTTTGTTTTTTGCAACATAAAGTAAGTTTTTGGTTAGGTGATTTCGGTACCAATGTCAATCCTTGTTGTAGATCAAGACCTCCAATAATTTTGCCGAAATTTTAGTTCGCAAAACAAATTTCCCAAAAAGAATCATGGAATAGGAATCGTGGTAATTTCCATACATCTGTTTTTACGAAAAATGAAGGCTGAAAAGTGAAAAAGTAGCTTACTTTGGGCAGATTTTGGTGTCGTTGGAATGAATAATTGTGGCTGTGGAGCAAAGAGATGTGGGAAGATTGACTTCCAGAACTGTAATTTCCACAAAATTGTATTTAAAAGCTACAATTTCACTGTATTTTCATTTAATCGAAGAAGCGGAGATGGATAGATTTAAAAAAGGAGGAGAGTTTAATCTGATACAAATTAATGGTATTTCTCGATATATTTGATAATGAAATTGATGCAATCAAAAGACTTCTGATCTGAGAAAATCTATTGTTTTGAATTTTACAACTACTTACAAAAAATTTTTCTTAATTCAGAAAAAAAAAGAAGAAAAACCGGATTATTAAGCAGTCCGAATGGATCCCAAGGATTGTAGTAAAGCGACAGTTGCACTCTATTATATTTTTGTGCTCGAGATGATGAAAAGGAAGCAGGGATATCAGAAGCATAAAAATGTTTCTTGTAGTCATAAGTGTTGTACTGTCGTTGGTGCTGATAGGGAGATAATTGGCTGTAATACGTTTGCTTAATTATTCACAGTGATGTCATAGTGACATTAACAGTGCATGGAGTGCAATAACTATGTACGATTCAATGGGTGTGAAACGTACGGTGAGTTTAAGCTGTTGATAGTTGGAGCCAAAGCAATTTCATTTGAATTACCCTAAAAATTTTAAACTAGACTTTTTTCAGGAGAAATGTTGGGTTCTTTTGCATATGTACCTCACATAAATAATCAATCGTGCAGTGAACAGTGAAAATCAGAATTATTAAATAGGTATAAAATGAAAAAGGTGGACACTGACGCTTGTCCTGAATTCCGTTGGTCTATGTTCAATTCGTATCTCTGGCAATGTCACTAAACGTTTCCAAGGTATACTGATCCCATTAATCTTTCCAACACCATATCTACTGCCATTGTTATCTTAAAAATAAAGTACGGAAAATTACGATGTTGTTGAAATTACGAACATGTAGTAAAATTACGAAAACTGAGCAGCCAACAAAGTTTATCAAATGGTATGTGATGATGAACTATTGAGCATTATTTCGAAGTTTAGATAAGGAGGCAAAGTGGTACCATAAAAAGGAGCAACAGTGGTTTCTGATGAAATGTATAAATGAGATATATGGGCCGCTCGTACTGAATGGTTGTAGTAATTGCTGCAAGAGAAATTAGACATATTTGATATTTAAGTTTCCAATTTCAAATCAAACTAATTAACTCGTTCTATTAGAAATCGAAAAAACAGGTTGAACTAAATGATTAAACAACTTGCACATTGAACATTTCTGGATGTACTAATATCCAACAATGGTTGTACTACCAGTAATTATCCTTGTATTCTGGTGATTAGCTTATCGCTCAGTTCGGATTACCGATGCGTATTTTTTTCTTTCAGTGTGAAATTTGAAATGAAACCAACCGATTTCGAAAGATCTTTGTACTTTGGAAGCGAGAATTAGAGGTTGTCAGGAAGCTTCCGGATGACAATCCATAGGATTTCTTCATAAACGATGATGATGTGGCCCTTGGTGCTACTTAATTTTTATCAAAGAACAAAATCAGAAATATCATCGGGTTCAAATCCATCCCATTTGTTTTATTATTAATTGAAATTTCTTTGCAGCAAAAGTTTGCGATAAAGAGATTTATAATATTGACAGCTCAAAGAGACAAGAAAAATGCCGAACGAGATAAGATTCGAACTCACGCGAGGAAACCCCAATAGATTAACAATCCATCGTCTTAACCATTCAGATCAATACCTACTAAGCTTACCAATTTTATTTGGTATCACTTGCCAGCTTGTTTTGTCATTTGCATTATTTCTGGAAAAATGAGGTAGTTTTCTGATCCCATTTCGGACTCGAAGAGTGACATGACCATTGTTTATCTATAAATCTTGTCATCAAGTTATCAGATACCGGAAAGCACATTGCGAGGTCAGTGCAGTAAATCGTGTGGTCAACATAAGCTAATACCAGGGAAATTGAACTAATTTACAGCTTGCATCGTCCATCGCAATACAACACTCTGCATCAAAACCAGAGTTAGAGTAAGACTTATACTTTGATCTGTTTTTTCATGATCCTTTCAATGTGGTTTCAGTCTTCACATGTATGTCTTATTTCCTCAACAATGACTTAATTTCTCGGAATTTCAAAAATTAAATTATTCAGTTGATTCTTTGCTATCAACGTTCTATTAATTCAGAATTTCTAAATTTTTTAGAAAAAAGCAAGGTACTGATTGCAGTTTGTCTGGGAATATGTCACAGTATGCTTCAACTCTTTGCAGAGGAAACAACTCTATGTTCTCATAAGTTACCTTGATTGAATTTTTAAAGATATCATTTCAAAACTCTTCGTATATCATACTTACCGGTGGTCCAATGCACATCATAACATAATAACTGATCCGTAAGAATAACGTTGCAAGTTGTTTCATAATATCAGGAATGCAGTGGTTGCTTGTGATATCAATGGATGAAATGAAGGATTGTTTCAGAATGTGGGAGAACGAAGTGATATTAGTTCGCTGTACTCAGCATCTACAAACCACCAACTTTAATTTACATAAGTGATGGTTACGGTAAACGAGATTTCAACGACGAAATAAGCATTTTCTCATTTGCCGCTTGTCAGGACCGATACTTTAACTCGTCTGAATTCATTTCATCTTACTTTATTCCTTCCACATTCATACAAAGCAAGCAAAAATATATTAGCGGTAAAGAGGTAATGTCTCAGAAGATAGATAATATTTGGTCAAAGATGATACGGCGATAATTGACTAAATAAACTTTGTGAACTTTTCGAAAGTATCAGCTCCTCAACACGACCTGTTACATTGCTCCACTTCAGTAATTGCACCGTTTGAGATGATCTAGAAGATTTGGGGCTCGGTCATTGGGATTGTGGGATTGCGGAAAGAGGAAGAAAAGAATTTGTATGATATCTATGATGGTATGTGACAATGAAGATCATAAAATATTTTATGGGCTATCGGCACAACCTCAAATAAATGAAATTAAAAAGCAAAAAAAAATTTAATGGGCAAAAGTAAAAGATATACGATGCTGAAGGAGTAATATTCATTCTGTTTCATTCCAGATTCCGTAATTCTCCTGTTCCTCTCTAAGCTCTATTCCACTCTGCCTATTTCAGTCCTCTGCCCTTGTTTCCTGTCTCATTCATCATCATTCTTGTCCACAGAAACAGGTTCTTTTAATAGTAGATTACTAGAAATTCTTTTTCCCTACTCTAGAATACATTGGATCCCACCAATTTATCCGTTTTTCACAATTCTGTTCCTAATGAAAGACATCTACCGTCCATTTGTTCACTTATAGTGAACAAACTATCTCACGGAAAAATTACCCTTTTATGAAAAGCTTAACTGACGCGAAACCTGTTTAAGGGATAAAATGCAATCTACAGAAGTTTTGAAATTTACATGTTCATTGGAAAACTTGTCTTAGTGATGTTTGTTTAGGAAATACACAGCTGTTATTTACTGATAATCCTTAATCGTAATATAGTTAAATTTTCGGAGCAAAAATAAAGAAAATTATGAAAATCTACTTGCATTTTTGAACAGATTTCAATTTTCGGTAGCCAATCGATTAGAAAACTATTCTGCAAGGGTTTCGGAAATATGAAGCTGCGTCGTTATAATTTAGATTGCTAAATGAAAAAGTGTCAAAAAAGCATTTCTTGCTTTTGCAAACAGTAACTTTAGTTAAACCACTCACCTCTTTTATTTAATTAAGCTTATATTGTCTATGAGTAATAACTCATATCCTTCGGCAATAAATTTTATTTTTCCTTTGCATGTTACCGTTTATCTTTTTAAGTTCATCCCATCACTCAAAGGATAATAGGAACATTTGTGACACTGAAGGCTCTTCCTTTGGTTTTATCATTTGCTCAATCTCCGCTTAATTTTCCTCTTCCCACAAAAAGGTAAAAAAGTAAAAACTCCGAGTTTTTGTCAGTTCTGAACTTAATTCGAGATTGGCTAATGCATAGCCACGTCAATCTTTTTGTTTTCAGTTCAAATATTTTAATTGCTTAGCATGTTACATTACATCTCACGCGACGGACCAGTGGTCACCCTTCATCTATTTAACACATTTGTTCAGAAACAATGTTGCCTGATGTTTCAAAAGTGACACTTTACTGAAGCTAATCATATCAGGCAGAATGTCATCCTCAGATCTGGTCAAAAGAGTACGTCGTAAAGATGATTAAAGATGATTAAAGACGTAAAGATGATTATTATACTCTTCCGCTCATACTTCCTTGAAGATATGACATTTTACAAGATGTCAGCTCTTTCACGGGATACATATATTACTGAAAAATGCACATCAAAATATGATCACACTTTGTTCTAGTCTTCCACACATTTCAAAATAGTGTTCAAAAGAATATGTGAGGGTTGTAAGAAAGATAAGGTCTTAAAATAGTAATTAAGATACTGAAATGGGTAATGGCAAGAAAAATCTATCATGTCACCATTTGTTTTTAAAGTTTTGTGGAAGATCTTCATAAATTTCAAAAAATAACGGAAAGTTTAACTAATACGTTGTAAGTTTCCATTAAAGTTTATTCCCAAGTTGACAGAATATATTATTTTTGAACCTTATGGTCCCTGCTACAAACAATAAAGCCAAAGCGGGTCCCTGGTTTTGGCAACCATTCTAGAGCTACCAACTAATCTTTGTCATTTGTATAAAGGAATGAGCGGTATGTATGTTTTTGATAGATTACGGTTTGATTAATGACAAAATCGCTGCAATCTCTATATCAGACAATAAGTGTCTCGGAGCTTTTGGGTAATTACCTTTTGGGTAAGAAATGTCTGAAACGGGAAGCCTATATAGAAGTGGAAATAACAGCGCAGTATGCCAAGGAATTTCCATTATTGACATACAAGTTGTTGTTCCTATGTTTTTACTTGATTACAGGATATAGAAGCTATAAGAAGAAGGTAAAAAAGCGTTACCGGAAAGAAAAAGCAGACAAAAGAGATCGTCAATGTGAGTTGTTTGCCGTTTCTAAGTATATTTATTGAAAAAGGGGAAATTTTTAAATAAAAATAAAAAGCTGATCAAAGGGGGCGGATTCTGTTCCGTTTGCATAAGCGGAAGCAGAATAATAGAATTTTTAATAAATCAATGATGTTTTAGTAACTCCATAAGGTATGGAATAATTTGAAATCATAAGTCCGGTTGATTTTAAACGCATGTCGATTGCAGAAAAGTTGAAAAGACAGGCATAGTGGAGATTTAATAATTAAGCAATTCACCACCTTCCCTTTCTGCAAATGTTAAAAATGACTGTGGTCGAGTTTTGGTGCAACAAGTTATACCTCGGAATCATCAAATTAGCAATTGAAAATAAAAAGTGGTCATTAAAAAATATATTAAAAGATTACAGATCCCAGAACATAGATTTCTTGAAAAGAGATACTGGCATTGTAAACTGCAAACTTAGGCGGGATCAGGGATCATACAAGAGGAAGGCATTGAAAAATGTATTCACAGACATTAATATTATTGCTAGAGAAAGCATCACTTTCGAGTTTGTTTTCAGGAATTGGCAAATTTATTGCATTGTTGCTTTATTCTATTATCATTTGTATTCGTCCCGAAAATTTGAAAGAAATTTGAAGTAGACAAAATTGTTGAAAATATCAATCGCAGAATTTTGGGTAGAACAATGATTTGGGATCGTCTAATATATCGGTGTTTTCCATGATATGCCGAATATTGGCAGTGGAGAACAATCGCTTGCTTATGATAAATCAAATGGTAGTGAACCGGTGATATCGCCATGCCTTTGTAGGTAAAATTTTGAATCCTATTTTGTTTCTTCTATCTTCACCACCATCGATATTTGATTCTTAACTGCTTTATATTTTACAAATACAACAAACTTATATTTCCATCAATCCTTTCGACCGCCATTCTGACAAGCGATAATTCAAAAGCGTCAGTTGATTCTAAATAGTTCAAAACGAACAATGAAGAAAAAAACTAATTATTAAATAGCATAATGATACAAACAGTTTCTGTGTTTTTCTGACTTGATATCAATAATTTGATTGTTCATGATCACAGTTACTTGGTTACATTTTTTTAACTCTTACGAAGTTTAGCAGTATCTTTGAAATACTCTAGTGACTTTTTACTTCCAAACTAGGAATTACATTTAATCAATTAACATATAGAGGAACAATAGACTTATATCATCGAAGTTGTTTGTAACGCTGACTTGCACCATCTAACAGAAACGTATGCGAAATTTGTCATTTTCCTTATCAGACTGCAAGATATTGCGCCATCCTCCAACTTTCGTTTTTTGGACTTTTGTTGCATGAATTTCGAGCAGTAATGAAATTTAAATGAAAAATCACTGTTACTGATTCTATGATGGACTAATGTCACATTTTGGAAAGCTTCATCTCTTACTAAAATGTACATGTCATTGCATCAGTGCAACTTTTCGCGTTTTTAAAATGCCATTAAGTTGTTGGATTTCTTGGAAAATTTAAAACTGGTCAAGTTAGTTTTAATATTTGAGCTCGTTCTCGACTAAAAGATATTGATATCTAAAGTTTTCTGAAATTTACAGGCGATATCGCACATTTTGTGAATTCATTGGAAGCAAAAATTCGTATTTAGAACGTCGCAATTTGGTTGCTTTGTGATCTTTACGCCGATTATTATCGGTTGTGTCACATTTTGTCTATCATCAGCGACACAAATAAGAGACTTTGCATTGTGGAATAATGTTGCATGGTTTCAAGCTATTAGTTTGTTTCTTTCTTGTCTCATTTTCTTGGTATTAAAACTGGAAACGGTGGACAGATAAATCGAAGAGAGATGGTCAAACGGAGGAGATTTTGGTAATTTTTATAGGCGATTTTATTTTAATCTAACAAATATTACTCATAGGCCTGTTGATTCTATCAATTTCGCTATCACTAGCATACTCTGTATGGCTTACTATCATTATTGTATTTCACATCAAGAATTATCTCAATTGGCGCATCTTAAGCGAGGCAAGTTCATGATTTCATATTACCACTATTTCCGGTACCATATAGGATTTAATTTACAGCTCATTTGTTTTGAATGATTCAAATGATTTATGCCAATTTATTTGTAGTTAAAAAAAGACATGATCGAGATTTTCCGATGTATCTTCTCGGATAAAGGAGTAACATGATACCTAGAATGAAGGTCTGCAGATATATTTCACTTTGTGATACTTTTTATTTGCTATTAAGCTTTAGAAATTCTGGAAATATTTTGGAAACGCAATTCAATACACCACAATTTTAAGTTCTATAGGAAGTACTGATACTGAATCAGGAATCAACATGCGGTTCATGGGAAACCGCTAATAGAGTTCGCATACAACAAAGGAAGAAAATTCGAACGTACATGGTAAGTTTTGAGAGTTTGATTAGAACAGATTGGAAGGTCAGAAATCAACTAATTCCTTTACTATGTCTCCACATTGAGCATGTTGATTGCAGAGTTTTGTTATTCCGTTCATAGTATTTGTCGGATTAACTGTGTTTTATGTCCTGATTGTTTTCTCTAGTAAATCTGATGTAGGTAAAAAAATTTTTTGAATGTTTTAATTCATGTTTTTAAAAGTGCTTGTTGTGCTTCGATCTGTTTTCTTTTCTATACGATTTATGCAGGAAAAATTTGAGTACCTTATCTACCAACAATGCTAATTTAGGTGAATTTTATTGTAATAATGACGATAGTTTCATAAAGCCAGATTGGTAATTATATCGCATATCAGAAGAAAAAAAAAAACCAATTCGCTTCATTTATGCAGGTGTTCTATTTCCTTCGCATAATGCTGCCATATATTTCTAATTATTGCCAACTTTTTTTCAGGTAATTCTTACCCTACGGAACATGAGAGACGGACAAGTATTATATCAAGTATTGCGTTATATATGAATCATGATGATTTTGTGCGTCATTTGCAATCGGAAAATACTATGATTCCCGTAATCGATTCATGTCAACACACGATAATCCCGACTCCTGTACCCAATGAAGAAGCATCTGAATCCTGCAGATATTCGAATATTCTTTTATGAACTCTCACCTCGCGAGATGTGATATGATAACATGAATAATCGAACAAAGAGTGATAAATCTAAACCATGTATAAGTAATTGCTAGATCTTTGCTTGTTTATTTAGAACCATATAATTGCGTATGGAAAATCACAAAAATTAGTGGAAATTTGTATTTTCCTTCTTATTCAGTGTGGAAGTTATTGATCAGTAGCTATGGTGATTGTAAACTTGTCAGGATTTAATTTCTCTTTCCTGTTATTGATTGCTAAATATAATTTTAATGTTAAATCTTTCACCCAAACAAGTGTCATTTTAAATAAGTAATTTGATGATAAACCTATGCATTTATGCAAATAAATGGAAATTCCTGTTCTTCCATTTTCTTGTAGTTCTTAGTTGATAAGTAAATTAAAAATTTACAATATCTATTCTCAAAATATCCAGTTGAACTCCTTTATCTATATAATTGTATAATTGCTTCAATATATAAAATTACCGATGGAAAGTTTAAAAGTGGACAATGCTGTAATAGTTAGTCATAATATCATTACAGGAAATACTGCAAACAAGTGTGCAGTACTTGCATGGGTCTGAACCCAAGAATTGCTGCTGTTCGAGAAAAGGTTCCTGTTGCACCTCCCGCTTTCGAAACATGTGATGAACACGAGTGGCATACTTGCATTGCATTCTTTGGTGCAGTAGGCGCAGCACAAGCAAGAATAAATCTGATTTAACATGATAATTGATCCTTGGATGCTACCAATTGATTTCCTGTTTAAATTCAACCAATGTCGTACCAATGTCGCTGATATGGCGAATGGAAACAAAGGGACAATAATCCCCTTGTTGAAAGCCAGACATCTTTGCGGTATATGCCCATATCGTCTTAACCCTATACAATGTGCGCTCCATGAGGAAGCTAATTCTTGTAATTACAAACGGTACAAGCACCCTCCCACTCGGAAAAACGGACCATCCTAAGTGCCAAGGTTGGTTGGTTGGAGGATATCGGGCGTAATTTAATCTTTTCGTTTTGGTTTTCGTTAATAATTTGTTGTATCGATGTCGTAATTGCAAGTTCGTTGCTATATTAATAGATTTATCGTAATAAAGGTTTAATTACCCAAGTTTAAGGTACTACCAACTAAAGAGACAGAAAGAACCCTCAGTTTTTGTCACGGTTGAAGAAAAACGGCGACAACCAATACATTCTGTTCTATATTCCATAAACTACGAAACAAGTTGTAAAACAATCACTTCCGATTAATTAATCATGGTCATTCCTGCTCGCTATGTAAGTTGATCTTTATAATGAGAGCGGGAAGACAAATGTCATAATTATCGTTACATTATCGTTTCAGTTTTACACATGATAGTTAAAAAAGTTTTTACTTCATTTAGCAAACTCATTTTGTTTTATATGTTTCGGATCCTGAAAACGAGAAGCTTTTCGCTGCTAATCAATTTGTTCGGTAAGACACAGAGACTTCTCGAACTTCTCGTCTTCAGTTCTAAACTATTGGTCGCACATCTTACCAATACTTTTTCGTCAGAGTGACACCACTTTTAAAATTGGCATGTTATTCCGAAATTTACTAAATAAAAAGTTCATTTCTGAAATGCTCCCAACTTTTTTAAACCCAAACAAAACCATGACATCGGCAAAATCATTCAAGACTTTCCACTTGGATCTTTTTTATTTTTAGTACTTCCTAATTCAGCTTAAAACTTTCCCCTCATTCTCCATCTGTTTACCTACAAATCATCTCAGATTCATCTCTAAAAGACTTTTACGCTATTTGCCTTGATAATTCATCCATCTATATGTTTATTGTCCATTGTATGACGAACGTCACTACTTTCGCAAATATGATTGAAAACCATTCAAGAAGGATATTTGGCTGAATCACAGGATCCAATATGTAATTATTGTCAATTGTATGATGGATTCCCGAATATTCCTCATTAAAGAAATCTGCTGCTGAAATGTGAGAAAATAGGCAAATAAATATAAAAACTAGGGAGATGCGACATACCTATGATTTAAAGCAACTGTAGCACCAATATGATGATCACATTTCCATGTTGGCTGCTCTAAATAGAGAACAAGTCTTTGAAAGTTGACTATGGGGACGAAGAATTATGTCGCGAGATTAACGGCAAGATATGGATTCTAATCACTTAATTAATTCTGTCGACGTTAGAGAGTGGAAGTTGAGCCGCCAGACAGGGAGCATCTCGTTGTCGTGACTTATTTCGATGGGACAATTCAGATAGCTATTTTCAAGAAATCTGGCCATTGACTGAGCATGACAATTACGTCAAAAATTTTTTTCATGCTTCCAACGGTACAATTAACAACAGTAGTTTGCTTAGCAAATAAGCGGTGGCAAGCTGATCTCAGGAATAATATGTTGATGTATAATAGTATTATTCAATAGTGCTCAAACAGTTCTGTCAACGAACAAATATTAGATCACGCGTGCATGAAAATACAGAACTATGTACGCAGATAACTGCATAGTGCAGGAAATTCTGTAACCAATGGAATACAACATCTCCACCTTTATGAAATATGAATACGCTGGACCTAACATCTACACTATAATACGCAACAGTCACACCTCCTGCACTACAGGCAGTCCGTAAAAGATCATCGGTTTGGATATGTCATATTCAGTTTGTTTACAAAAGTTTTGGCAACAATCATTCAGATTTATTTCTAAACCCAATGATCATTGTTCTTCCAGATTTGAACATATTTATCCACCAACAGATCATGAAGAAAAAACAATCAGCAACAATAGAAATTGTCCAGCAGAACAACGGTCATCCACAAACAGTGAATACAATCTTGATATGGAGGAAAGTTATAAAGCTTGAAAGGCTATGCAAAGAAATACGAACGAATCACATCAAATAAGGAGCGACTTCTTGTTCAGATATCCGTGTTCCCAAATTTTTATTCCATTTAATAAAAGTTATTAGAAAAAATCTCTTACAGCTTTTCACTCCGGCACATACGAACTTCCAGGAACTTTCTTTGATTTCTTTTCCTGGGTTTATTTGCAATTCCAGATCTATGAACTTATTTGAAAATATACTACGCTAATTAATTGGTGAAACAAAATGTATCAGAAAGTTAGAAAAAGGAATGCTGCAAACACAACTGAGAATTTTTTGGAAGCCAACTGAGCATTCATCAGTCAGAACGTTTCTCTGGTACTTCTACTTTCCTGGACGATCGTAAAGTCATTTTTCATTAATTTCATTGGAAAATAACTTCTCTACCCTAAATATTATCTACCCCAAACGTAACTGAATATTAATGAAAAGTGACATTAAAAGCATCTAGCTGACCAAGAAGACGTCTGATAGATTTAAATGGATTCAGATTTCTTATACCTTTACGAAATTTCGGATTCAATCTCAAACATAAATGCAAAGGTATTACCAAATATACTAATCTAAAATACTCATCTAGTTTAACATATCCTTTCAGTCATTTACTGCGGTCAAATCTAACATTGATTTCAGTTCCCCAAAAATTTCAAAGAATTCTGACAAATTTATGAACTGTTAGATCAACAAAATGTGCAAGAAATACTATGATAATATATTATGCGTTCATTCTTTTCGTCGTTTTCTTGGGATATTACTATCATTCTCCTTCTCAATACCACGTATTTCCAATGGTTCATCGATAATCCATTGATCTTTGTTCTCGGTGCGGATGACTGTAGAAGTGCCATCAACGAATCGGGTTTTGAAAAGTACATTTGCGTGGTTGAACATCCCATCTTTCAGCGATACTATTATAAACTGAAATCACAAAACAAAGAACATGTTAGTGGATCAAGTACATTACCTTGATGTACTTTAAAGTCATGAATAAAATCATGAATTAGAAAAATTGAGGAATGAAGGCAGCACAGGAGAAGAAAAGCTCTAATTCTGAATCAGAAATTCGAAAAAAATCTTAATTTGCAGGAATACGAAATTTGTAAAAAAAAATTGGTCGGAAATGAAATGAGGAGCTTTCAACCACTCGGTGAAAAACATCTTTTTTTTCCTTTTCCACCCCTCTACTTCTAGAACCCTTTAAGCCTCCTTCAAAAATGCTTAATGATATACCTGCGATTCTCTGAAATGTGTTTTGATCATAGCACCTATATTTTGAGTGTGTGACAAATCAAGCGCAGCATCAACTTCATCCAGAATATAAATTGGAGCAGGTTTGAATTTCAACATTGCCAATACTAGCGATAAGGCCACTAGAGAACGCTGACCTGAAATAACACCAAAATTCTTAAAATATACAATGAAATAACACCGTAATTTCTTAGAAAATATCAATTTTTGTTCCGTCAAGAATAATAATTTCACCAAACGTTTTAAACAGAATCTTTAAATTAAATCCAGTTGGTGACCCTATCGCATTCAAAATGGTTGACCCAATTAAACGAAAATCACGGGGAATATAAGGGTAAACGCATTTTAAGCATTTATAAATTCTAATTACAATTAAAACGACAAACAATGGCTTAACTTAAACTCACTCGAATATTTACTACCGTTTAATACTACATGGAGAAAAAACCAATTACCTGTCATGAGTCAACTATTTCTGCCGGAGAAATGTAAATTTTCAAAAAATAATTCACAAACAAAGATAATGTAACAGCATATTAAAAAACCGACCACCACTTAATTCGCCAAGTGAATCTTTCCATTTGTTCCTGAAAGCAACCTTTACTTCCAAACCACCCAACGCCGAAGTAGCACCAGTGGGAGGTTCCAGCTTTGCACTTGTCCCGGGAAGTAACGTAGAAAAAATGTTACCAAAGTCCTATAACTGAGAAAAACATTTGATGCGAGAAACTTTTATGGAAAAATTTTTATGAATCGTAAATTCCACAAAAAATCCTACAGAGATTTGAGCTTTTCAAAAACAGTGAACATAAATTACAAAAAAAACGGGACCCTCAACTCCTTATAATTTACTTGTTGCCCTAGAG